CTGCAAACTCTCTCCCTCTTCCACTCCTGCATAAGTTCTTAGTCCTCATTTGGCTCTCAATCTGCTTTCCTTTCGCAGCCCAGAAATCCTCCTCCTGTGACCCATGCATGCGCATTGCAAGGGCAGGAAGTGTTGTTATTAAAACTCTACTGTTCCACACTTGCTATTCTTGTGCAGGCTCTGTTATTGGGTCATGCACTCACAATCACACCATCTATCAAGTGTACTCCCGTGATAATCAATTTACCTGCTTCAACCCCACTTATTGCCCTGTGGAGCAGTGGTTAGAACTCAGGAGTGGCCACCTTGCTGGGAACATTGTTACTTATACCCAGATGTTCAATCCCGAAAAACCAGTGTCATTATTGTTTGATGCATGTGTGGCCATAGACAAGCTATATGGAGGTACAGGCTGTGGCTGTGGAGGCCTGGGTTGGGAAAGGACCTATACATCAAATAAAAAATATTTGTGCTGGGGAGACAACTCTTAGCCATGTGATAATGAGGGTTATCATTTTTTCCCTTATTGGAGTTGTATTTCATGGGCCACATGGCATGGGGGCTACACAATTAGCCCTCCTTCAAAAGGGCACTACTACCCCTAACTGCAGTCAAGGCATCTGTAACCCTGTAAATTTCACTGTACTCAAGCCATCTGATTGGACACAGGGACAGATAATTAGCATAAGGATAGATGGCCAAGGCTTTGACCCCAGAACTCTGTTACAACTTAAGTTAACAACTGTTACCCATAAGAGCTCCCCATACCAGGTCTTCCACTCCTTTTATGAGGAAATGCCAGATAAATTCCCCATTTCTGTTACAACTAAGAACTTTTTCCTCACACTGGCCGAATCTATAGCCCAGACATTAAATGTCACTTCATGCTATGTGTGTGGGGGAGCCAACGTGGGAGACCCCTGGCCCTGGGAGACAAGGGAGTTAGACCCAAGGGAGTTAGAAGGAAAGTGCCTTCCCATGACACAGGACAGGTGTCTGGCTCCTTAAAACTTCCATTATTGGGAATTACTGTATCTCCCACCATGGAAAACAATTCTCCACCCTAGTGGGGGACCTAACTTGTCTAGGACAGAAGTTTTACAATGACATAGCCCAAGAGACTCAGTGGTGGGGTACTCCACACCATACGGAACCCCAGCCTCACCCACTGGCCAACTTTTCTAATCTCAAAACAGCATGGGACAATCTTACTGCAGATATAAACTGGCAGGCTCCCAGAGGGCTATATTGGGTCTGTGGAAGGCAAGCCTATACAGTGTTGCCTAGAAACTGGTTTGGGTCTTGTGTGCTGGGCTCCATCAGACCATCCTTCTTCTTGTTCCCCCTCAGACAAGGTGAAAATCTGGGAGTCCCCATATATGAACAAAGACTAAATAGAAAAAAATGGCAAATAGACACCTGGAAGGATGAAAAATGGCCTCCTGAGCAAATCATCCAGTACTATAGTCCTGCCACCTGGGCAGAGGATGGGTCTTGGGGCTACCGCACCCCTTTATATATATGCTCAACTGCATCATCAGGCTGCAAGCTATTGTTGAAATTATTACTAATGAGTCTGCAAGAGCCCTCAATTTGCTGGCAAAACAAGGCACTAAGATACGCAATTCTATCTACCAAAACCACTTGGCTTTGGACTATTTGCTAGCCTCTGAGGAAGGAGTTTGTGGAAAATTTAACCTGAGCAACTGCTGCCTGCAGATTGATGATGAAGGAAAAGCCATAGAGGAGATCACTGAGGGAATGACAAAGCTTGCCCATGTCCCCGTCCAGACTTGGAAAAGCTGGGATCCTAATAACTTATTTGGAGGATGGTTTTCTGCCATAGGTGGATTTAAAACACTGGTAGGGGCAGTGGGCGTAATTCTGGGAGCATGCACAATACTTCCCTGCTTCCTTCCCTCGGTTATATGATCTATTAGGTTCATTACAGAGGCTACTATAGAAAGAAAAACGGCTGCACATGTAGTGATGCTATGGAAATACAAACCCTTAAACCAGGAAAATGCTCTTTAACCCTAGATGCCTCCAGAATCATGCAGGGAACTCAGCAGACAGATTTCCCACCATATGCTTCTCTGGCCTACCAACTGGCCTTGTCTGCAAATGAAGCCTGGGAAAAACCATCAGCCTCCACTCCCAGGGACCCCACAAATTCCAACTTCCAGCCAAATACCCCCCCCAATGACGCCCCCACTCAGCACAAAGCAGCTAGATTGATCAGTGCCCATAATACCAACAAAAGGTTGGAATGTTAGGTCCCTGGCATTCTTGGGGCAGGTGGAAGGTCCCAAGGCTAGCACCAAAACCAGACCCCCTGATTTATGACCACTTGTTTCTCCCCTGCTTGTTTCCCTGCCTGATTGTTTCTTGGCTTGTAAAACACCTCAGGAACTTCCAGTTACTCAGCTAGCTAGGCATATCGACCTATTCCATCTGGTGATTGCAGATAATCAGAGACCAGAGATGCTCTCCCTCCCCCATGGCTCGGCCCCTCCTATAAAGTCCACTACCCATTTTCAGCCAAGCCGCTTCACTCTGAACCCGGGAGTGACAGCCCTGCGGTCTGGTTCCAATAAATCTTTCCTTTCCACATGTGGTGTGGTCTTTATTTGGCAGTACCTTACAGCTCTAATCTTGGTTGTGGTACTACCCTCCTCCCTGAAATGTACCTCAAACATCTGGCAGTCATCTCTGACACCATCTTCCCTTTTTCCCTCCACATCCAATCATTAATTAAATCTGGTGGGTTCTATCTATCTTTTAACTTTCTCTTTCCACTCCCACTATTACTGCTTTAGGTCAGGTTACCTACTAGTTTTATTTGTTTGGTGGTACTTGGGTTTGAACTCAGGGCTTGCACCTGCAAGGCAGGTGCTCTGCCACTTAAGTCACTTTTCTTCTTACATTATCAAGAGCTTCTGTGCCTCCATGCACTCCCAAGCTAGTCTTCACACTGCAGTCAGTATTCTTCCTAAAAGTGTTCTTTTGAAGTAAAAATTGTTCCTCTTGTAAAATGCAGCTCTAATTGTGTTCACAATTCTTTTCTTTTTTTTTCTTTTTCTTTTTTTATTATTCTTATGTGCATACAATGCTTGGGTCATTTCTCCCCCCTGCCCCCACCCCTCCCTTACCACCCACACTGCCCCCTCCCTCTCCCCCCTACCCCCTGGATACCCGGCAGAAACTATTTTGCCCTTATCTCTAATTTTGTTGAAGAGAGCGTATAAGCAACAATTCTTTTATTTCTTCCCTACTTCTAGCATTAATTTAATGATTAATGGATTAATCAAGATGGTGTAGAAGATAACTCCAAATCACAGTTTAACACTAGTCCAAATATTGAATACAATGGACCTAAATTAAATTTGCCTAGTAAAACTACCTCTAATAATTTAGGAATTTACCTTCTACAAAAGCCACCCAAAAGCATAATAGTATATGTACACGTATTTTGGTTAAAAAAAATCACTTTTAGGATTGAAAAATTGGCTTTTTTTTTAATTTTATCTCTTAGCTGAGATCTCTTTTTCTGTAATAAATGGAAAGAAGTACACAGTTTAGGAGAAAGGAATCTAATACATCAAGGATAGAAGGGTTTACAAAAAGGAGGTAACATTTCAGATGTTGTGGAAAAGATGTCACTCCATTACCCAGAGTTCACTGTATCTGACAAAAATATATACACCCTTCTACAAAAAGCTCCAAAGAGTGAGAGGAGAATAAGGCTTTTTCATCAAACAGTCTCTTTCTAAGACACTGGTATTTACAGCAAGACACACTGACTGTTCACCATGCCTCCTGTGTAGGCAGAGATCTTGTCCTTTTTGCCTTGCTGTATCTCAAGTGACTGGCACATAGTAGGTGCTAATATTTGTTGAATAAATAAATTGCTCCTGATTCTCTAAGGACCATATCATGGATTACAAATTCAGATGTCAATACCAGATGAGCCAGTGATATGTAATAGCAATAGTAAAGAGCCAGATGGGGCCCACAGCAAATGAGACAGTACATTTTCCACCATAAGGCTTTTTTTTTTTTTCTTTTTTTTTGCAAAGCAGGCACTCTACCACTTGAGCCACACCTTCAGTCCATTCGCTCTGGTTATTTTGGAGATGGGCTATTGCAAACTATTTGCCAGGTTTGGCCTCAAACTGCGATCCTTCCCATTTTAGGCTCCAAAGTAGCTAGGATTACAGGTGTGAGTCACAGGCGTCTGGATGCATTCTATTCTATCCCTACAAAATACAAAGCACTTTCATTTCAAACATGCCACAGTCTTCAGTTCATTGTAGGCGAATGACTTTTGTTCAAAGAATACTCCCAAGAGCAAAATCGGATCCCAGAACTTGACCTCATTCCAGCACTTATTCCAAGACTAAAAATTCCCTTCTCTAAATTTGGCTTCTCTAGCCGGGATTAACAATTCTCAGCGCGACTTTTGCAATGAGGATCCCTGTTTCGGAAGCTGTCCCCTCACCACAGGCCATCGACAGAAGCGTTGTCAGGCCGGCGTGGTCCAGAGGGTGGGGGAGTGAAAGGCGATGGCCGGCGTTCCTCGGGGGTGGCCTCGGAGCGGATCATGAGCCCACGCTCGCGGGTGGCCGGGACTGGGAAGACCCACAGCCGAAGCACCCTCGAGTCGGTCCCTAAGTGCACTCTAATCAAGCGCTTCCCCTCCTGGCTCCGAACTGGCGCCACAAAGAACACCTGCCTTGGCTGGGCGGAGGGGGAAAAGCAGACGCAGCGACTGACGCCCGGACTATGCGGGCTGGAGGCCAATTGTCGCCGTAAGGCCCCAGGACGGGGGCGGGGCGAAGCTGTGTTTCAGGGCGCATGCGCAGAGCCCCAGTCGCGCCGGTTGCCAGGACGTCGTGGGAAGGGAGTGGAAACTCACGACCTGCGCCGGGAGCCTCCTGCGTGCGCAGGCGCACTCAGCAATCTCCGGCTTCTTGGAGCTCCCATTCCCGTCCGGGCCTCGGGGCGGGGCTAAATGCAGGAGGGAGGGTCCGCCTTCCACTCTGCTCTCGCCGCCGCCTCGCGACCCAGTGCTGTGAGCTGCCAAAGTCATGTTACCCAACACCGGGTAAGGGGATAGGGCGATGCGGAGAGAGAGCGAGCTGTGTGGAGGGCGTTGGGCCGCTGCGGATCCGCGGGCGGAGGGAGGGTCGCTGAAGTTGCGCTGACGCCGTGCGTCCCGAAGTTGTGTACTAGCGGCGGGGGAGGGGGTGTTGGGGGGGCGCGGTGTAAAGTCCTTTTCTGCAGCTGCGGAGTTCGGGGGTCCGGGCTTCCCCGCAGCCCCTGGTGGCGGTCCTGCCTGGGGTTTATCAATGGCTGTGTGACAGCCGAATCCCTGCAAGTTCTAGGTGAAAGTCAGTGGGACAGCTCGTGACCTTTGAGTTTCCACTTGTTCCAAACCATGTATTGTAGAATAATAAAACAATGGAATATTTTTAAAAAGGGTTTTCAAATTAGGGTATCATTGAGGAGGGTTTTTTTTTTTTCACTTAAACTTTTTGTAAGTGTGGTAAAATACAGGTAACGTAAAAATTTGCCATCTTTATCATTTTTAAGAGTACGGTTTAGTAGTGTTAAGTATATTCACATTGTTGTGCAACCAGTCTCCGGAACTTTTTATCTTGTAAAACTGAAATAAATACCCATTAAACAATGTCTAACAGTTTCCCACATTCTCCCCCACCCCTTCCAGCTCCAGGAAAACACCGGTTTACTTTTGGTTTTTATAAAGTTTGGGTTATCTTGAACTGAGTGACAAGTCCATTCTGTAATTAGCGTGAAACATTGCCAAAACACATAGCCAAAAGGCTTACCTAGTTCAAAAGGGCCTAAGGAAAAAAAAATCCCAGTGTGTTTCCATTCCATACATTTATAAACATACTTTGTTTCTATGTCCCAGACAGGAACATACTAAAAAAAAAATGGTAGCCAACTTTCCCTTGGCCTTGCTACTTTTACTTCACACATCTTGGGATATGCTTTCCTTTTCAGTACATGTGGATCTTCCTCCTCTTTAGTGGTTGCACAATGCTGGATTATGTAGAAGTACCATTATTTACTCAACCTGTTCCCTGCTGTGGAATACTAGGTCATTTCCAGTTTTTTGTTACTCTGTCTTTGCATTTGTGATTATCCTTCTGTTCATCTGTTTGCACACAGGGGAATGTATTTCTAGGATAAATTCCTAGAAGTGAAATTGCTGCATCAAAGAAAATATGTACTTTAAATTTTGATAATTATTGCAAGATACTTAGCTATTTGCCTCTAAAAGGATCGAATAATCAAAAAACGAATGAAGCCGGGTGCCGTGGCTCACACCTGTAATCCTAACTACTCAGGAGGCAGAATGAGGATCTAGGTTTGAAGCCAGCCTGGGCAAATAGTTCATGACACCCTATCTCGATAAAAACCATCATGAGAAGGGTGGAGTAGGTCCTGAGTTCAAGCTCTAGTACCACGAAAAAAAAAACATGAGATATCCTAATCCATTATTTTGCTGTTGCTTTTGTTTCATCGCAAGTGAGGTCGAGGATCTATCTATCTATCTACCTATCTATCTAAACCAGGAGCAATTTGACCCCCATGGGACATTTGGTAGCATCTGAGAAGATTTTTGATTGTCATAATGGAGGAGAGATGCTAATAGCATCTAAGTGATTGGAGTCCCTAGACGCAGGTAAGTGTCTACAACACACAGGCATCCCTGCAACAAAGAATTATTCAGTTTCACAATTTCAGTAGTGCCAAGATTTAAAGCCATCTGTGTATCTTTCTATCTACCCTGCTTAACCAATGAGATAGCTCCCTACCCTGCTGGGGATGGAACCCAGGGCCTGACACACTCTAGGCAAGTGCTATACCAAAACAGAGCCAATGCCCAATGAGAGTTTTTGATTTATCTCTCAGAGGTTGTATGTTTAAAAAATTTGTCCTTTATTATATATTTTCTGAATTTTAAAAAAATTGCATCTTGACTTTGATTATACTGTGTTTAACATGGAAAATCTGTTTTCCAAAGTCATAATTATTATTATTTTTTTTGGCAGTACTGGACTTTTTAAACTCAGTGCCTCACACTTGCTATGCATGTACTCTACTACTTAAGCATGCCCCTTTTTTTCACATAGGGGCTCAAGTTTTGGGATCCTCCTGCCTAGCCTCCTACGTAGCTGAGATTACAGATGAGTATCAATGGGTTCAACTTGATGGTTGAAATGGGGTCTTGCTAATTCTTTCCCTGGGCTGACCTTGAATTGCAGTCCTCTTTGATCTCTGCCTCCAGAATGAGCCACCTTGCCCTGCATCAGTCTGTTCCTTTAAGGTGTGTGTGTGTGTATTTCAGATTTTCATCCACCTAAGATTTATTCTGGAGTGGAGTAGGAAGTGGGTTAGAAAACCTACTTCGTTTTGATTTAGAAAATGCTTGTTCTGTTGTCTCAGCCACATTGACCTCGTATTTAATCTTTTCCTTTCTGTTAGAAATTCCAGCACTGACATATATTAAATTCTTGTATGTATAGGGATCTGTTTCTGAAGTTGTCTTTTTGTTGATGTTGGGGGTTGACCCATGCCCTTTCACATGCTAGGCAAGCACTCTACCGAGCTGAACTACAGTCCCAGCCTTAAAATTTTTTAATTTGAGCCAAGGTCTCACTAAGTAACCCAGACTGGCTTTGGAATTGCTATCCTCCTGCCTCAGCCTCCCAAGTGCCATCATCCTCACTTGCTTACTCTTGTTTTACAAAATGTTTCAGTATGTGGGAAGGCTAATTCCCACCTCATTTAGATTTGTTTCAGAATTTTCCTGGTTATATTTGGATATTTGTTTTTTCAAATGAACTTTAGAATAGATGGTATAGTTTTTTTCAGTGTTAATATCATAGAATTGCATACATTATATGAATTTATTACATGAAGTTCAAAATTATATTGTTTAGATCATGGTTAGACAGGATTTTTTTTGTAAAGGATTAAGTAGGTGTTGGTGAACTAAAAGACAAGATTAGACATAAGTATACCTATATAATAAGAGAAAAAACTACTTTTCATAATATTTTTATTAATATTCAAAGTAATTGGCTATAAGTTTTTGTAATACAAAATCTAATAAGAAGGATGGAATTAATTTAGGGGGACATGGGGTGTTATAATAGTTTCATAGGGCCTTTATAACAAAGTACCAAAACTGCGAAGCTCAGAACAGATTTATTCTTTGGTCTGGAAACTAGAAGTTTGAAATCAAGGTGGACTTCTTTCTGCAATGCTGGGTAGAGTCCTTCCTTGCTTCCTCCTAGCTTCTGTGGTGGCCAGCAATCATTGGCATTCCTTGACTTGTGTCTGCATCACTCCTGTCTTTGCCTGTATCATCACCTGGTGTTGATGACATGGAGTGTGGTCTGTCTTCACCGTCTTCTCTCTTGTAAGAAAGGGCCTAACCTTTCTTGACATCATCTTAACTAGTTCTGTATGCAACAGTTCTGTTTCCAAAGGTCATATTCTGAGGTATTTCAGCATATCTTTTTGGGGAGGACACCATTCAATCAATAACAGGGAGATACTGTTTTGCTTAATTGGAGTTCAAAGCCGGGTGCTGGTGGCTCATGCCTGTATTCTTAGATAACATGGGAGGCTGAGATTGGAAGGATCAGGTTCATGGCCAGCCCAGGCAAATAGTTCATAAGACCCATCTCTATAAAAATAACCAAAGCAAAATGGCAGAAGGCATGTCTCAAGTGGTACAGTGCCTGCTTTGAAAGTAGGATGGCCTGAGTTCAAACCCCAGAACCACACACACACACACAAAAACTGGAGTTCAGGATTAGTGTTTCTTATCAGATAGGTCACAGATGTTCATCATAGCTCTAGGGCCATATATGCAAAGGTCATGAATTGAATTTGGCCTATGAGCCCTTGGTTGATACATAGATACATAGGTATTAAGAATAATAATAATAGAAAGAAATGGATAATAATATTGAAGGTAGTTTTACTTGCAGGATGGGCAAAAGGAAGGATAGAGTTGGAGAGGAATAGACAGGTGCTTCCTCTGTATTCTGTTTCTTGACTTGGATAATAAGTGCACCATTGTCCGTTTTTATTTTGTCCTTAAGCTTTACATGCTCTTTGTATATACTTTGTGTATGCTTGCTGTCTGTCTCTTCCATGTCTCCACTTCCACTTCTTCTTACTAGAAGTCCTACTTCAGGAGTATGATGCCCAGATCTCTGCAAGATCTTGGCAAGAGCCTCTGTTCCTTTGTTTGCAAGCCTGCCTATCTGTCACCACTTTCTCTTTGTCATTGTCATTGATGTTTTCTTCAGCCTTTGCCTTAGGCATGCTCTTTACCTGCTCTTGGAGACTAAAAAAGAATGTGAGTTTCCCTCTGTTAGTTTATCTCAGTTGTTTCCGTCTCATCTGTCAACTGAGTAAGTAGAAAGTCTAAGTTAGGGTGGAAGGATGTGAAGAATGAATTGGGTTTAGGAATTGCCTGCCAGCATACCTGAATCAGAGAATATTTCAAATCTACCTCAGCACTTTCTGAATCTTCTTGGTTTGTTTAACAGCTTTACTGAGCTGTTCATGCTCAGAAAAATTCGCCTACTTATCATATAGAGTAGTGGCTTTGTACTTTCACTAAAACTATCCCTACAATCAACTTTACTATTATTATTATTATTTTTGTGGTACTGGGGTTTGAACTTAGTACCTACACCTTGAGCCACTCCATCAGCCCTTTTTTTGTGATGAGTTTTTTCAAGATAGGGTCTTGCTCACTATTTGCCCTGGCTGGCTTCGAACTGCAATCCTCCTGATCTCTGCCTCTTGAGTAGCTAAGATTACTGATGTGAGCCACCTGTGCCCAGCCCACAATCAACTTTAAAACCTTTTCATCATCCACAAAAGAAACCCTTCACCCCTCAGGTGTCAACTGCCAACTGCTCCTACTGCCTCCTACTCCTACTCCTAGGCAACCACTGATTGGGTGTCTATAGATTTGCTTTTCTTTCTTTCTTTCTTTCTTTCTTTGGCAGCACTAGGGTTTGAACTCAGCCTTACACTTGCTAGGCA